CGTTATTGTATGAATGGAAACATTATAAAGTCCTTGGATATTATGCTTTAGGATAATGACATTGTAATTGTATTGTTGTACGTTATGAATGGAAACATTATAAAGTCCCTGGATATTATGCTTTAGGATAATGACACTGTAATTGTATTGTTGTGCGTTATGAATGGAAACATTATAAAGTCCTTGGATATTATGCTTTAGGATAATGACACTGTTATATTGTTGACGTTGGTGAATGGAAACATTATAAAGTCCTTGGATATTATGCTTTGGATTGTGACACGTTATTGAATGAATGGAAACATTATAAAGTCCTTGGATATTATGCTTTAGGATAATGACACTGTAATTGTATTGTTGTGCGTTATGAATGGAAACATTATAAAGTCCTTGGATATTATGCTTTAGAATAATGACATTACATTGTTTGTGCGTTATGTAATTGTATTGCTTTAGGATAATGTTGTAATTGTATTGTTGTACGAATGGAAACATTATAAAGTCCTTGGATATTATGCTTTAGGATAATGACAATTGTAATTGAATGGATTGTTGTACGTTATGAATAGAAACATTATAAAGTCCTTGGATATTATGCTTTAGGATAATGACACTGTAATTACATTGTTGTACGTTATGAATGGAAACATTATAAAGTCCTTGGATATTATGCTTTAGGATAATGACACTGTAATTGTATTGTTGTACGTTATGAATGGAAACATTATAAAGTCCTTGGATATTATGCTTTAGGATAATGACACTGTAATTGTGCGTTGTTTATAAAGTCGTTATGAATGGAATTGCATTGTTGTACGTTAAATGTTATAAAGTCCTGGATATTATGCTTTAGGATAATGACACTGTAATTGTATTGTTGTACGTTATGAATGGAAACATTATAAAGTCCTTGGATATTATGCTTTAGGATAATGACACTGTAATTGTATTGTTGTACGTTATGAATGGAAACATTATAAAGTCCTTGGATATTATGCTTTAGGATAATGACACTGTAATTGTATTGTTGTGCGTTATGAATGGAAACAATAAAGTCCATATTATGCTTTAGGATAATTGCATTGTTGTTGTACGTTATGAATGGAAACATTATAAAAGTCCTGGGATATTATGCTTTAGGATAATGACACTGTAATTGTATTGTTGTACGTTATGAATGGAAACATTATAAAGTCCTTGGATATTATGCTTTAGGATAATGACAATTGTGTAATTACATTCCTTGGATATTATGCTTTGTAATGACGTTTGCATGAATGGAAACATTATAAAGTCCCTGGATATAATGCTTTAGAATAATGACACTGTAATTGCATTGTTGTACGTTATGAATGGAAACATTATAAAGTCCTTGGATATTATGCTTTAGGATAATGACACTGTAATTGTATTGTTGTACGTTATGAATGGAAACATTATAAAGTCCTTGGATATTATGCTTTAGGATAATGACACTGTAATTGCATTGTTGTGCGTTATGAATGGAAACATTATAAATGCTTTAGGATAATGTCCTTGTCCTTGATATTATGAGGATAATGACACTGTAATTGTATTGTTGTGCGTTATGAATGGAAACATTATAAAGTCCTTGGATATTATGCTTTAGGATAATTGCATTGTTGTACGTTATGAATGGAAACATTATAAAGTCCTTGGATATTATGCTTTAGGATAATGACACTGTTTGTATTGTTGGATAATGGAAACATTATAAAGTTGGATATTATGCTTTAGGATAATGACACTGTAATTGTATTGTTGTACGTTATGAATGGAAACATTATAAAGTCCTTGGATATTATGCTTTAGGATAATGACACTGTAATTGAAACATTGTTGTATAATGCGTTATGAATGGAAACATTATAAAGTCCTTGGATATTATGCTTTAGGATAATGTACGTTGGAAACATTATAAAGTCCTTGGATGAAATGGAAACATTATAAAGTCCTTGGATATTATGCTTTAGGATAATGACACTGTAATTGTATTGTTGTACGTTATGAATGGAAACATTATAAAGTCCTTGGATAATTATGCTTTAGGATAATGTAATTGCATTGTTGTACGTTATGAATGGAAACATTATAAAGTCCTTGGATATTATGCTTTAGGAATAATGACATTGACATTGTATTGTTGTACGTTATGAATGGAAACATTATAAAGTCCTTGGATATTATGCTTTAGGATAATGACACTGTAATTACATTGTTGTACGTTATGAATGGAAACATTATAAAAGTCCTTGGATATTATGGATGAATGGAAACATTACCCTTTATATAATGTCCGTTATGAATGGAAACATATTAAAGTCCTTTATATTATGGAGGATAATGACACTGTAATTGCATTGTTGTACGTTATGAATGGAAACATTATAAAGTCCTTGGATATTATGCTTTAGGATAATGACACTGTAATTGTATTGTTGTACGTTATGAATGGAAACATTATAAAGTCCTTGGATATTATGCTTTAGGATAATGACATTGTAATTGCATTGTTGTACGTTATGAATGGAAACATTATAAAGTCCTTGGATATTATGCTTTAGGATAATGACACTGTAATTGTATTGTTGTACGTTATGAATGGAAACATTATTGTTTATGTAATTGTTTGTTGTATTATGAATGGAAACATTATAAAGTCCTTGGATATTATGCTTTAGGATAATGACACTGTAATTGTATTGTTGTACGTTATGAATGGAAACATTATAAAGTCCTTGGATATTATGCTTTAGGATAATGACATTAATTGCATTGTTGTGCGTTATTGGAAACATTGTTGGATAATGACATTGTAATTACATTGTTGTACGTTATGAATGGAAACATTATAAAGTCCCTGGATATAATGCTTTAGAATAATGACATTGTAATTGTATTGTTGTACGTTATGAATGGAAACATTATAAAGTCCTTGGATATTATGCTTTAGGATAATGACACTGTAATTGTATTGTTGTACGTTATGAATGGGAAACATTATAAAGTCCTTAATTGATATTATGAATGGAAACATTATAAAGTCCGTTATGATATTATAAAGTCCTTGGATTTAGGATAATGACACTGTAATTGTTGTTGTGCGTTATTGTTATAAAAAGTCCTTGGATATTATGTTTAGAATAATGAATGGAAAATGGAAACATTATAAAGTCCTTGGATATTATGCTTTAGGATAATTACACTGTCCCTTGTTGTGCGTTATGAATGGAAACATTATAAAGTCCTTGGATATTATGCTTTAGAATAATGACATTGTAATTACATTGTTGTGCGTTATGAATGGAAACATTATAAAGTCCCTGGATATAATGCTTTAGAATAATGACATTGTAATTACATTGTTGTACGTTATGAATGGAAACATTATAAAGTCCTTGGATATTATGCTTTAGGATAATGACACTGTAATTGTATTGTTGTACGTTATGAATGGAAACATTATAAAGTCCTTGGATATTATGCTTTAGGATAATGGCACTGTAATTGTATTGTTGTGCGTTATGAATGGAAACATTATAATGTCCTTGGATATTATGCTTTAGGATAATGACAGTGTAATTGCATTGTTGTGCGTTATGAATGGAAACATTATAAAGTCCTTGGATGTAATGCTTTAGAATAATGACCTTGAAATTACATTGTTGTACGTTATGAATGGAAACATTATAAAGTCCTTGGATATTATGCTTTAGGATAATGACACTGTAATTGTATTGTTGTACGTTATGAATGGAAACATTATAAAGTCCTTGGATATTATGCTTTAGGATAATGACACTGTAATTGCATTGTTGTACGTTATGAATGGAAACATTATAAACTCCTTGGATATTATGCTTTAGGATAATGACACTGTAATTGTATTGTTGTAAGTTATGAATGAAAACATTATAAAGTCCTTGGATATTATGCTTTAGAATAATGCAACAGTAATTACATTGTTGTACGTTAGGAATGGAAACATTATAAAGTCCTTGGATATTATGCTTTAGGATAATGACAGTGTAATTGCATTGTTGTTCGTTATGAATGGAAACATTATAAAGTCCTTGGATATAATGCTTTAGGATAATGACACTGTAACTGCATTATTGTACGTTATGAATGGAAACATTATAAAGTCCTTGGATATAATTCTTTAGGATAATGACAGTGTAATTGCATTGTTGTACGTTATGAATGGAAACATTATAAATTCCTTGGATATAATGCTCTAGGATAATAACTGGACAGATGAATAATGGATGACTATTGCTCGAAATTAAAATCTGACAACTTCTATTTTTAAAGTATTCATGAAATCAAATAAGCGAATGTTCTTGCTATGATCCCTGATTGTTCTCAATATTCATATTTTAATCACTTATTGAGTTATATTTCTTTTGTATCCTAACAATTTGTTTTCCTTCACATAAAGATTTTGTTTAAGATTCAAATGAGTATTTATTTTTAATTCACATTTACAGTGACCTAACCCAATGCGGATCCATTTTTTACGTAGTATGTGTATTCAGGAGCAGGAAAACTAATTCCAATGGTGGAAAATGGATGTTATTTTTGTTCAAAATTAATCAAATAACATCCCATGCACCTTTTTAAAAAAATATTTTTAGTCCTGTATCTTAATCCGCTTTATTGAAAAAAGGGAGTTAATAGAAGTTTTTTTTTTTAATTTGACTTTCTCTCCTTCAATGTCGTACATGATTAGATATCTAAAATAATTACAAAGATTATCAAATCATATGTATTAATGATTTGATAATAATAATTAATTCATTACTTATGTATCCATAATGTTTTGTTTATTCATTGAGTAATTAATTAAATACCAATCTAATAAAGACATTTACCAATTAAATTATATCACACTATTTTTTGTTTAAATTTCCGTTATATTATCCAATTTTTATGACATTTGTTTTGTCAATACTTTTACCACTTTTATATTTTAATAGGGTCAATTCGTGCGATATCTCGACCGCTACGCTCAGCATTGGTCATTCAATCAGTTCTTTGGGGCACGTTGACATCGAAAAGAAAGACATAAAGAAGAAACTCAAATCCTATATGACCAGTTCAAAGGTTCGACCACGAGAGCTTATGACTGAAGTTGCCAAACAATATCTAAAGAATTTGATAGAGAACCCACGCCTGACGGAAGTGCTGGCAAAGTTTTTCCGAGGAATTTTGCGCAGTATTGATGCCGTTGGTGTCATGATCCCCGAATTACTCAAAGCTGATCTCACCTTGCTGAATAACTTGGAGCGAGACTTTCTGAAAACAGAATGCAAATTCACCGAGAAAATGCCTGGGTTAATCGCCGAATGCTATGACATACAAGGTAAGTGAAAAAAAGAAAAGTAAAAGTTTAGACATTTAGAGTAAGGAAAGGTATAAAGAAGACTTAAACTTGGGGATAACTTAATATTTTCTATTTAAGAATAAAACAATTTCGTATATCTTACTTATTATAAAACGCAGCTTGTGTGTGTGTGTGTGTGTGTGTGTGTGTGTGTGTGTGTGTGTGTGTGTAACGTTTATATGTTGGATCGAATTTCCTACATTTTTTAGCCGATTTCAACAAAACTTCACAGGACTACATAAAATTACCTTTTGGTGGTTCTAACGGCGCCGAAAATGGGAAAAACACAGTTCTTTTTTAAGAAAATCAATTTGAAAACACGATTAAGACACATCGTGAGAATGAAAGGGGGACAATTCACCCACGAAAATGTAAACAAAAAGCATAGCATGATGAAAAAGACGCCGAAATTGACGAAAACAAAATTTTATCGTCTAATGTTCATATTATTATTAAAGAGGAAAGATCAAAGTATTTTGGGGGTATTTTTTTACATTTTTTAATCGTTCCTAGCACGTCTGAAATTTCGTTAAAAATATTGTTTTTTTTTGGTAAAAAAAAAAGGACAGATAATCATTTTCAATCATTTTTTTCGATTTGATAAAAAAGATTAAAATCTTACTTTGATATTATTTTAAAAGTCAAATATCATTTTTTCAAAACTGATTTTAATAAAAACAGATATTATACTGTTTATTTAAAATATTTTGAACCAAGCTTAACTTAGCTTCTGCGCCGAAAAAATGTAATTTGAAAATAAAACAAAGCAGGTCATAACCTTTCGCGTCGCTTGACGATTGACGAAAGGCACATTCATGACGTTTAGATAACTTACGGGAGTGTAATTCTTTCTACGGATGGAAGGAAGTGAAATTATTTAAGTGAAAAAATTATTTACCACGTTACTTTTAAGGAAAACTTTCAGCGCTCTAATTCTTTATTTTTTTTTGTACTTAGCTTTCATTTTAACCTTTACGATGCTTCATGGAAAATATAAAGAAATTAAAAAATAAGACTGTTAATAGTGAGATTAAATTTCATAAGAAAAAGGTATCTAATTAATTTAGGTACCTTTCTTATGAAATTTTATCAGAAGTGTACATAAAATACTATAATTTTATGTACATTTATTACATTTTACTGTGTTATTTGTATTTCCATTCATTTTATTATTAATTTTGATATTTCATTTATGGAAAAATGTCATAACTGAGATTAATATAAAAATAAGATCATATAAATTAAAGTTTAGCAGTAGTTAAATTTCATAAGATGATACTGTTACTTGTAGGTACCCTTCTCAGTTGAAACTGAAAACTCAAATTAACTTCTCCATACGTGTTTCGCAAAAGTAAAGGGCTTAACAGCGGAGAACAATGCTGAACTCAAATAATGCAACTAAATTGTATTCTGGTTGGTCTTCCGTACTTGATAATTACTGTCCGACTATAAACACAAAAATTACATTTCTTAATTACCATGGCTAATCTGATTGGTCCAAATTATACAATTTTCAAAGCGCTAGACAATGACAATCTCACACGGATATTTTGAAAGGTCGATGTTGCATTTAACTAATGTTAAAATATTTTTTTAAATTAAAGAAATAAGAAATAATTGTATTAAAAATTCAAAAAAATTTTTGCTTCCAGAAAATATTGTCCATATTCATAAAAACAAATTAAAACAAATAAAAGCATTTGAAACTAAATAATATATTTGTTTTATTGAGTTTTGTATGTTACAATTCACAGCTGATTTTCAGGTACGTTGGACAAAAAAAAAACAAAAAAAATACATGATTTGCATTCTTCAAAGCCTTGTGCTTTTAACTATTGTAATCACTAAAACCGATGGTCTCTAATTTCTAGAGTTTTTCATAAAATTAGTTATGGGGGTGTTAATAAATATAAAAAAAATATTTCTGCCATGACTTTAATAAAAAAAAAAACATATTTATAATAATTTCGATCATCATAGTTTCTGAAAGTTTCATTAATATCTGACAATTATTTTTTTTTTGCAAGATTTTCCAAATTAATGTGTGTAAATACAAAAAAAAACGCGCTAAAAATTATCTATGTTATTTACTACCCCTTGTTGCGACAAAGAGAAACAAGGTTTTTAAATCAAAATTTAGAATATTCTAAAAAGACGGAAAAATTTTAAAAATAATTAAAAAAAATTTAGTCTATCCTCTTCATAAAAACATAAGCATTTTGACGATAAAATTTTGTTTTCATAAACTTTAGCGTCTTTTTTCATCAGACTATGCTCTATGTTTTAGCGATTCCGTGGAGGACTTAGGTTAAAAACCCAGATTGTGTGTGTGTGTGTGTGTGTGTGTGTGTGTGTGTGTGTGTGTTCCTTTATATATGGGATTGGATTTCTTACATTTTTCAGCCGATAAAACAAACATCCACTTTTTTTTTTGGCAGGTAGTATTTCTTATTGTCTTGCACACTTTTTTCTTTATTTACCTTCAGAATGCTTTAAAAATTCCATTTACAAGACAATTGTTTATAATAAAATTCTATTCACCAATCGATAGACTCATAACGATTGTAAACAATGTTTTTGTTTGAGTTTGGGTTTGACCAATTCTTAAAAAAAAAAAAAAAAAACTAATTAAGACATGCGTGTCCGTCAACCTTAAACAATAATCTTTGTCAATTTTATTTTTCAGTCTTTATGATGGTCGATACTTGATCTATCTCTTACTGTTACATCCCCGGGCAACGCCGGGCTCTACTGCTAGTATTTAATAATTTAGAAAAGAAAAAAATAGTTTTAAATAATATCTTCACTGTATATAAGACTATAAAAAGAAAGTAATGTGAAAGGCATGATAACCTATTTTATTTTCCGTTACACTTGCAGTTCAAATCTTCACATTGTTATTTTCATCCCGGTTCGTCTCCTATATTTACATTGTATTATTATTATTATTATTTGTGGTATCATATTGCCAGGGAGTAATTTTAAGTGCCTAATTACCAAACCCACTCCGGAGTCTACAAGTAAAAAGGCCGCTGTAGGTGAATTATCTTTGCACATATGGACGATTCATTTAGACGTTGAGGGATTTGTGGATATGTACAGTTCGGCACAAAGTAAACTTTTGTAGCTCTGAAATGCTGATTTGTCCAGGAATTTCACTCCCATCATTTTCGGTACCCTTCTTTATTATGCACATTACCCCTATCACAACCGGGATAATTGTAGTTTTCCACATTTTTGTTACTTCGATTTGCAGGCCCTTATAATTTGACAGTTTTTGAAATTCTTTTTTAAAAACATTAGAATCCTGTGAGAAAATCATATCAGTTAGTTAGCAGGTTCCTACTTTGAAATCTTTTATGGATCAATTTTCATGTTTGTGAACATTGGAAAATTCCACAGTACAGTCACTCCATCACCATTTGTGACATCATTCAGATAATGTTTGTACCATGTAGCCGGAACTTCAATTCCATAGTTTGAACAGACATGTTAATTAATATATTGGCTTAACCTTTCATGTCTAATAATGTATTTTTCTCAGCAAGAACAGGACACCTTGCTATCTCAACTGATTAGATGCGCTAACATGTACATATTTTGTCTTGGCAATAGTAAATATGCCGTTCAGTACCACATATTTGCTTGACAGTTCCCTGGTTTTAACCAGCTGGACATATCCTCTAGGGGTTGACCTCAGTGTGTATATCAGGTCATGAGCGGGATTAGCGAGAGAATATCCTGACCGAGAGTCAAGATGGATTTGTTTGTTGTTTTTTAGTTTGTTTTTTTTTTCTTTTTTTTCTTTTTCTTTTTTTCTTTTTGTTTTTTGTGGATGAGTCAGCCGATGCAATTTAACAGTCACATCTAGTTGCATGGGAACCAAGCGGAGATCATATGAGCGGACCGGGTTACTCGAACTGAACATATTTCTAACTAGACCCCGCTCAAGTAATGCACTGATTTCATCAAAACCTGTCACCATCAGCTTACATTTGGCTGTGATGCGTGTGCCTGGTATACTCTTATCAGACTGGGTGTCATGATGCAAATATTGGGCTTTGTACACTAGCGTTACTTTGCTGGTGCTGCTCTCTCAATAATAATAATAATAAACAAAAACTGAGGAAAATATTGGTCATCTAATATCCGGATACTTAACCCTGGTCACAAATGAATTTAATTATAAACATAACAGGGTAAAGAAATACCTGTATTGGAAAATATATCAACATTATAACCTTAATCAATGCAGAAGTATGGACACAAACCACTATAAGGTTTCCCAGGCCTGGTTTTCCCCGGTCGATGTGGGTCTGTGTCAGAGATGTTTTCAACTGATCCTTGAAGCGTCGTTTTGGGCCTCCGCATAGTCTCTTGCTAACCACCATCTCACTTCCCACCTCGCTGCTCTTGTCCACTTTTGCCATGTCTCACAATACAGACTCTGGCGAAGAGAAGAGATTCAATTCCCTTCAGAGCCTGATAAAATCTGACTTGGAACACACGCATTTCGACACCAGCAATTACATTCAGTTCCCTAACATCAACACCTGTTCCGACCCCAACGGCAAACAAGATTACTCTAGATTTCTGTATTTCAACCGCAGCATTTCTTGTTCCAGCTGGCAAGAGCGACTGGTCAACTGTGATAACAATAACGTAAAACCTCGATCTTTGATGAAGCGTAGAACTTTGTTCGTTTACGACTCTCCGTAAGTGCGTTTTATAGCTTTCATTCTGTTGAACAGATTCTTGCGGTACTGGTGTTGATTCAGGAAAAAATGTTTGGTGATGTTTGCGTTGAAAGTGACCACTCCGATTGTGTGTGCTCTGGTCCGATCACACTGTCTTTGATGAACCGTTCAACAAATTCGATCTGTTTCTCAAAGTCATCATTTCAAAGGCTAGTCGGTTCGTCCATCATGGGATGAAACCAACAACAGAATTTGATCAATATTGTTAATAATAATAATAAA